GACACGTATTCATTCTTTTCTTACAAAATTAAATACTTTCGACGATATATTAATCTGAAATAACGTGTGACGTCTCAATCAGCTACATTTTGTAGCTCTTCGTGACGTAACTACCTCCCACTCTTAAACTTAACTCCATTTTATCTAAGTATTGTAACTTTATACGAGAAAATAAATATAAGTGTGGGAGAGCCATGCTTCGGCACGAATGGGCCGGCTCGACCGGAGTGATACCACGGCCTCACAGATAACCGACTTGAAGCAACGCTTGCGTTGTGTATCGTCGTGTGAGTGAGGTTACCAGAGGCCCAATAACCCTCCCCTTTCCCAATCTCCCCAATCCCTGAATCCCCAACGATCCTCAAACTCCTAATCCCCAAAAGGCCAGTAACGCACTTATAACGCCTCTGGTATTCTAGGTGTCCATGGGCGACGCCGATTGCTTACCATCAGGTGATCCGTCAGCTCGTTTACCGGCTTATGCAATAATAAAAAAATACTTGTCTAATATTTTTTCATTATCTAACTGACAAAATAATTCGATTTTTAATTTTCATTCCCTGGCAACTACCCTATTGCGAGATAACCGCGCACAAACATAGATACATAAGTACAGCTCAAACTAAGATCCTCCTTTTTTAAGTCGGTTAAAAATGTTAATAAATAGACAAAACTAACTTTGATCAGAATTAACCTTAAGTAAAGAATTTTAGCTCATATAAACTATTCCTTGACAAGGGCCTGTGTGGGTTAACTAATTTCATTACATACGCATCTAACACGTCAACAAATCCCTCCATCTATTATTAATTAGATTTCTGTGAAGTTATTCAAGCAATTACTGTACTGAATGATAATAATTGTAGGTTAACCTAGGTTCAACATTTTATCCGTACGTAACACATAATGTAAAAAGTTTAATTTTTTTTTATCTTATATACACATTGGATACTTAGGACCGACATTAATAATCCTTATCAACATTCCATACATCATCATCATCATCATCATTTTCATCATTATCAACAGCCTATAAATGCCCACTGCTGAGCAAGGCCTCATCTCAGGTCTCGGGTTCGATTCCCCGATCGGGCAAACTGTTGCTGGGTTTTTTTAAAACAAATCTTAGTCATCGCACGGAGTCTGTAATTGTGCCCGGTATATGGCAAAAGGCTCATCTCTTATTACATGGGACTCATGACATAATTAGTGAAAAGTTGGTGTTACATTGTACAGTGGCATTTAGTTCCGTAATGGGCACCCCTTCGAGGATAAAAGGCGTGATGATGAGAGAGATAGTTTAAATCAGGTCGTAAATTCCCACCTATTTCACCATTTCCAGTCTCAAAATCAGTATGCCTACTCTAATCTCTGTAGTATCAATACATAGTATAAAACAAAGTCGCTTTCGCTGTATGTCCGTATGTATGCTTAGATCTTTAAAACTACGCAACGGATATTGATGCGGTTTTTTTAATAGATAGAGTGATTCTTAAGGAAGGTTTGTATGTATAATACATGCATATTGCACCTGTGCGAAGCCGGGGTGGGTCGCTAGTTACGAATAATACAGAAAAGTCTAAACACCTTCGAGATTGAAACGTAAAAAGTTTTTTATCCACTTGTAGAAGACGAGACCTCTTACTCAACAACCGAAGTTGTGACATTTGTGACCACTGGACCAAGTTCAGTATTTAATTTGATATTTTGGGTACAGAGGGAAGTCTGCTCACATCCGCGCATCCCAGGGGCATGCTCCATTACTGCCCCACAGACCTTTACTCATTTACATTTAAATTAATTGTATTTCATTTTAATATTACAATTATTCTAGCGCATATAATTAAATGAAATAATATCAGAGATATCGCTTCTTTCGTATTCTTAGGAGGTTAATATTGCGAATTAATATTTTAGTCTTGTGACGCGTAATTTATTGAATGTCCCATGAGGTCTACTCTTCTTTCATCGCCCGTTTGTTTTAAAATTGCATGCACTAGTATAAGATTACGTTCAAAAAAAGGTACATCTTGATATAATGGCACGATACTATTGAAACTTGGGCTTATATAAATACTTTATTTATAATAAATCATTTACATTTAATAGACATAAATAATATGAATATTAATATTAAATATAAATAACTATGAACTAAAATATATACACCTTAAAAAAAATGCTATCATAAGGCATAAAAAAATATTTTTCCCCATCGCTATCGTGAGGTAGGGTGCCCAAAAGACTGGCTTATATAAATATGTATACGTAATACTTATGTCATCGGAAAATAACAAGAAGCATAAGTTTATATATAGTATTGCCTAGGAAAATTATAAATTTCTGCACGACTTTCTGAACGAGAAATAATTACCTCTAGTATTATTTTGTGCCCCACATTTACGCAAATTTATCAATTTGTGATAATTTTATAAGCTTACGTATTTTTTTTTAAGGGGGAAAATCATCGAATGACTGCTCCCGCCTGGGTGAGGCGGGAGGGAGTGTCAGGCAAGAGTCTGATGACTGACTAAAAACCACCCCGTTCCTTCTCCTGCACGTCGAGCCGGAGCCCCGGTAACCCGTTAGGTTCTCCGCGACAAGCTTACGTATATCCGCTTGTCAGACATTTTTTTTATGGAAATACACCTGGGATACCAGGGGCGTTACAAATGCATTACCGTCTTTTTTGGGATCAGGAATTTGAGGATTGTCGGAGATTCAGGGATTGGGTCTCTGTACCCTCACTCACGCGTCGAAATACAACACAAGCGTTGTTTCACGTCGTATCACTCCGGTCTAAACAGTTGTAAACGGTACGACACAGATTTCAATGTTACGCTTTTTATAAAAATACGGAAAATAACACACTGCTCTCTAATTGGTTGATGTTGACAGTGACTCTCTGATTGATTGGTGATAATACAATATGTGTGTCTTTTGTTTTGGATCCTAAGAAAGTCTATAATTTTCCTAGAAAATTAGGAATGAATAAATATTGGTATTTGACTGCCTTGTTGCCCGAGTGGTTGCAAGGGTGATTGCCGGGCAAGGGGTCTCGTGTTCGATTCTCGGGTCGGGCAAAATAATACTGGGTTTTTAAAAGTAAATTCTCAGTAGTAGCACGGTGTCTGGAATTCTGCCCGGTATTTGGCAATAGGCTCACCCCCTATTACATGGGACTCATAACATAAATAGTGAAAAGTGGGTCGTCACTTGTACAGTGGCATTAAGTACCGGAATGTGCACCTATGCCTACCACTTCGGGGATAAAAAGACGTGATGTTATGTTAAGTTAAATATTGGTAAGTTATATTCTTGTATAGTATTGTGTTCAAAAATTACTCGCATTGAATTCTCCCCATTTCATAACAATTTGGAGAAAACGAAATCTACATGCACAAACTAGTATGAATTACTTCATAAACAAATGAGCGCCATACAGGATTCTAGAGGGTCTGGCTAGATAATCTTTCAGAATAATATCCTGATATAGGAACTGACAGTGACGGAAATAATTGTGTATGACAGTGAAATATTGAAGGCTTACCCGGGGATTCGTAAGTCATATGGGTACCCGAATTATTCGACCTCAGAGAAGCGTCTACTAACGGAGGTTTCGTATTTTTCTTAGTAAACGATCGCTATGTTATATTATTTGAGCACTGAATTTTGATATTTATGTGTTATATACATGGACTATCATGTCCATCTATACATGTCACTTGTTTTTAACGAGAAAATAAAGTTTGTCCTTTCTTTCTTTCTATGTTTCCGATCTCAATACAAGATTTAAGATGGACTGGAGGTTTAAGACGCCCTGTTACGTTTAAGACTCATTGAGTTACACATAGTGTTTTTTTTAAATTGAAAGTTTTAATTACACACTTTTAACCTAGTTTATGGACAATACACAATGAAATTTGGCGCGTTGCCCTAGTGAAGGGCTATATCGACGGGCTGGGTCAGAGATTTGGGCCGAAAACCAACAAGTTGGGCTAGATGTGAAGACCACTATTATATCAACACTTTTAATTGCGTCGAATTGTTGTTTATTTTAAGCCTAAATAAACGACATATAAAATGTTGCTGTTCGTTCTGGGTGAATTTTGGTCAATCGTCTGCCGCCGTGTCAACTCTTAAACTTGGAGCGAAATCTTAAATTAGTTTTTTCTTTAATTTTAAGTCAAAGTCAAAGTCAAGTCAAAATCATTTATTGCAATTAGACCAGGAAGGCACTTTTGAACGTCACAGCAAAATATTTAAATATTAAATAATAAGAAAAAAATGTTAATTGGACGATGCTCATAGCCTCTAGCATGGCTTGAAACTAGTCGAGTTCCTCGTCAAATTACTACGTGAGTAATCCGAAATCATAATAATTTATTTAGTATGTCTCTCGAAAGTTACAATACAAATTTTAAGGTTGTTGTTTTCTAACCGTTTTATCATTAATATATTTTTTTAGTTCACATGTGTCTCTGTTATCACAAAGGATTGTAATGGTATTGGTAATCATTAGCAAATAGCGTCATGTGATGGGAAATACTTTTAGTTAGGTCAAATTATTATATATCAAACCAAATTTAACAGTGCCCTCTTCGGATTTATAATGTGCATATAACCTATTGGTTATTTTTTTTCCTTTTAGCCTTGATTTCTCTAAATTGCTTTTAAATATGATTAAATGAGTTTGAGTTAGTACATCGAATTCCAAACAAATTAATTTATTGATCCCCGGTTCAGACACAGAAATTTTGGAAATATTTTTTTTATTTTTAAATTCTGCTGATAAATGAGAGTTCCGAATATCCAACCTGCTTTTTGATTGCGCCATCATTTTTGTAGAGCTCTCCTTACCATAATGATGACGCAATTACAGTTTTCTAAATAAGTACACTTTGTGATATATATGATATTTTTGGCAAGAGTACAAATAGGCTACGGTGTATGCTCTCTTCCTTAATAGTGAAATTATTAAAAAAAGATAGGATCTTGTGAATGCATTTATTTAAAAGATTTTTTTTTTGTTACAAGCATCAGTTGCTGTTAGTGCCATTGCTGGAGTTAGAGGAGTTGTTACTGGAGCTAGAGGAGTTGTTACTGGAGTTGATGTCGCTGGTGGTGTCACCGGCGTCGGGGGTGTCGGTGAAATCGGTGTTGGAATCGGAAGGGTTGGTGGAGTCGGAAGGGTTGGTGGAGTCGGAAGAGTTGGTGGAGTCGGAAGGGTTGGTGGAGTCGGAAGGGTTGGTGGAGTTAGTGTCGGTGGTGTTAGCGTTGATGTCGGTACCATTGTCATTTGGCATCTCACTGGATGGTGGTTCGGTACTCATATCAGGATCAATATCAGGTCCATCAATGTAGTTATCCTCAGAGCCATGGAAGTCAGGAGCTTTTGCTCTGACTGAGAATATACAAGTGGAAACACATTCGTATTCGTCTTTGAACATGTTTATATTAGGAAGGCACCCACGCCACATGCCCACTTCGCACCTCGATCCTGGTTTCCAGTAGTACATGACGGGTGTAGGTGGTTTACCGCAGTCATCCCATTTGAAGTTGGCGAAGCATTGTTCAGGTGGTACTACAAGTAAAATAACTCGGTAAACGGGTAAGAAAGTGAAGATTGATCTAATACAAAGGCAGCAACCATTTAGCTCGTTAAAAATATTATAAATTGAAATCTCTATACTGAATCATTTTTCATTTTCTTACTACCCACTGCCTGATTATTGTTAATACTAAAAAATATGAATAACAATAGTTGAAGTCAGACAACCTATAATTTTAATACAAATTAAATGAACATCAGCATAAAAAGATACATTACTGAACGACTCTTCCCTCAAAAGTCTACCATAATCCCCTACCACAGTTGGGACATAGGGCAATGAAAATTGAGCTTGTCTTTATCTTTTGTTATCGCTCGATAGCTGGTAGTCCATATGATGGAGTATGTTTTGGTATAAACCCCAGTATAGAAAAAAGAAATAAAGAATGAAATCTTACCTGTATTAACGAGACCGATGTAGTAAAAGACCAGAGATATAAATACTACGTCTGTAGCCATGACAGACCAGCAGAAAAATGAGAAGATTAAAAATCCCATTACTTTTATCAACTGTTAATTGTTTCTCGCACGAATGGACGTAAATGTGAATTAATGTGTTATGTAATATCCTTAGAAAGTAAATTTAACAAGTTTTTCATTGCATTTGTTGCTTAGCTTCGGCTGATGTACTTAATGGCGTCTTTAATCGCTGAAAATACGAGACATTTACCACCTCGTGTTTTATACCATTTGATAATAAAACAGTTTCATGGCATGGCACGTGTTTTATAACAATTTAATTATATATTACTGTTACATAATAATTTACCTTTTTATGGCATAAGCCGGTAAATAAGCAGACGGATCACCTGATGGAAAGCAATCGGCGTCGCCCATGGACACCTGGGACACCAGAGGTGTTACAAGTGCGTTACCAGCCATTTGGGGATTAGGAGTTTGAGGATCGTTGGGGATTCATGGATTGGGGAGATTGGGGAAGGGGAGGGTAATTGGGCCTCCGGTAACCTCACTCACACGACGAAACACAACGCAAGCGTTACTTCACGTCGTTTTTCTGTGAGGCCGTGGTATCACTCCGGTCGAGCCGGCCCATTCGTGCCGAAGCATGGCTCTCCCACACTTAAAACCTATACATAAGTTTTACTAGGTTTATAACAAACTTAAAACATTAAGAAGGATCTCGGTTTGATCTGTGTGTACCTACATTGGTGATGTTTGGCCGCGATTATCCCGTGATTGGCTGAACCGATTTTCAGGAAATTATTTGTGATACTTAGAAGCGGGATTTAATTCAGAAATGGAGGTTAAATCCTGCTTCCCATCGGTGTAGGCAGATACTATGGAACGCTAATTGCTACGATTCTTACATACCCCTTTCGTTTCATCAACAATCAATTTTTCTTTACATAGTTTATTGAAAATTATTAAATAGGTATATTTTTTTTAATTTTTTTTTTATTTAATTATTATATATAACATTACCTAAATGCTTAATTATTTTAACCGATAACCGAATCGGAGAACCAAAGTACATGAGTACATACATATATTTTTATATTTTGTACCTCTCTATTACTTCATATTATATAGGTGTTAACAAAGTTTACAATTTCTCCATATTTTGCCTTCACATGGCATGTAAAGATTCATTTATAGTACCTTTTATAATAGTTTTAAGGTATTCTATTAAATTTTCATCCATAAAATTTCCTGTACTGTGGAGTAAAAGTGGTTCAAAATGGAAAAAAAACCAATAGCGGTCCTGTTGTTGCTGTTATAATAATATAATAATAATAATAATAATAAATAATAAATTCTTTATTTCGGATTGATTGTACACTCCATATCTTATACTACTAGGAACAAAAAAAAAACAGCACATACTAATATTATCTAGAAAAAGTAAGAAAGAAAAAAAAAAAAAACAATTTATCATAAACTAAAACATAATAATAACCTTAATAACCTGAACAGCATTACGCTGCAATTTGCATCCATTTTTTATATACAGACGTGGCATACAATCGGTTGTATAACTCCTTGATGATACTGTTTGTGCAAGTGCCAACTCTAGACAAGAATCCAGCGATTCGCTTTCTCTGTATAGCATTAAACGTGTCCAGCCTCGCTTCTGTGAACATACCCGACGCACTACAGTGCGGGGCTAGACCCATTAGCTGTCTGAAGATGTTATTGTACTGGACACGAATACCATCCAGAGACCTCCTCGTGTAACGAGTCCAAAGTTGGCACGTGTAGAAACTTTGACAGTACGTTCTAAATAGGTGAACTTTCGTCTGGGCATTGGCTTTAAAGAATCTCCTAGCTATCATATTGCCAACGACTGACAATGCCCTGCGTTGTCTGTCTATGTCAGCGTCGTCCTTCATATCTGACGTCAGCATGTGACCAAGGTACCTGAAACTTTCTACTATTCTAACAATCTGACCTCCTAGCCAAACTGGTGGGACATTACGTGGACCTCTTCCTGATCTGAATATAAGCATTTCAGTCTTCTTCGCGTTATATACTAGATTATGTTCTCGCGCATATTTCTCACAAATCGCCAATAGTCTTCTTATACCCTTGATTGAGGGGCTGAGCAGAACCATATCATCAGCGTAACTCAAGTTGTTGACATACCTATCACCAAGCCTAAGCCCAACTGCCGTCCCACTCAGCTCCTCAATCAAGTCATTCATGTAAACATTAAATAGATCAGGAGAGGTTAACCCACCTTGTCTAACGCCACAAGACAGCCTATAGCTCTCCGACATCGCAGTCTCCCACCTGACATTGTTAGACTGATTAGAGTACCAGTATCTAATCAGTCCAACAATCCCAGCTTCAACTTTCAACCTATCTAGTTTCCTCCATAGCAAGTCGTGATTAATTGTGTCAAATGCGCGGCTCAGATCAAGGAAACAAGCATAAACGCTTGTATCCTGTTCCACATACTGCGATACAACCTGTTTTAGAGAGAAAATAGCCATGTCAGTTGATACCTCAGGTCTAAAACCAAACTGTCCATCATCCAACTTAAGTGCAGGACTTAACACCTTGTGTATCAGACGCTCAAGCACCTTGGCCACTACCGTTGCCAGCGATATAGGTCTATAGTTAGACATACTAGTAACATCGCCCGTTCTGTTCTTAATTATGGGCACAACTATCGTACGTATAAGCTCTGCAGGTAGGTACTGGTGTCGCGAACAAAGATTAAAGAGTAAGGCCAAAGTATCAGCAATATACCGACCTGCGTACAATAAGTGCTCAATACTCAAGCCATCGTGTCCCGGGGATTTTCCACGCTTCATTGCTCTGAGAACCTCCACAATATCTTTGGCTGTGACCTGAAAAACCCCCTCATCCTTTCCATAAGAACTCGACAACGATGTATAGCTAACTGGATTTGGGGTAATCGGTTTTAAATTGAAATGTGCACTAAAGTTGTTTGCGATATTTCTCTTGTTCGACTCACCTTGCACACTGACAGGTATACTAGTTTTAGGGTTGAGCTTTTTAACTTCTTTCCAAAAGCCACCAAAATTTTTCGACGATGCGTGCTGCGCTAATATACTCATTTTAATTTTCTCTTGATTATTTTGAACAAATTTTAACGCACGTTTAAACTCTATACGAGCTATGCGCATTTGATCGTAATAAAACCCTGAACCAGGCCTACCATATGAATTCCACTGTAAGAAAGTTTGCCTTGCCTGTACATGGTACTGTCTAACATGATAATTCCAACCAATTATATGCCGCTTCGTACTAGCTTTGGCAGCATATGTGCGCTCAGCAGCAGTTTGTAATACATTAACTATATCACAATAGAGTTTATCAATGATTCTTAGATGTTTTACATCATTACATAACATATTAATATTACATGACAAGTTATACTCCTCACATCTATACACTAAACCCAAATTTTCAGTACATATTTCACAGTATTTATTACATTGCTCCTTGTTTCTAATACCCCACTTATACTTAAAATTGCAATCAGTCCCACTATCTAAAATCAGTCTTTTACAAATAATATTGCTTAATCTTACATGTATTACTAGAGGTAGGTGATCAGATAGATATGCATCATATAGTACACTAACATTACATACCGATGGTTCAGCCGCAGCGGACACCAGGCAGTGATCGAGCCATCTCTGCGAGCCCGACCCATCACTTACAAAAGTATACGTGCTTAAGTCTAATTTCTTAGAGTCAATACATGATAACAATTCTTCAGTACAGTAATCCATAAGCTCTTTATAAAAACGCGTACCAGGGTGCGCGTTAAAGTCCCCTAACACGAACACACTTTCGACATCCGCACTATCAATTACCGCACTTATATTAGCGAGACACTGTGCCATTACCGGGAAATTGTCTTCACAATCGGTAGGCATGTACACACTAAATACTAGTATACTTCGCTCATCACGCACAAGCTTGACCGCAACCATACGATCATTGTTACACTGCACAATGTCCGCGCTAGGGAATATGTTCCGGTCCCATAGGAGAGCAACTCCCCCATACGGCCTTCCACGCACCACACCTTGCTCCGTGTCTACAGCAGATATACCATGACAACCAAATTGTTTGTGTATGGTATGTAACAACCCTAAATCGTGGGGAAACAACCACGTTTCTTGCAGGGCTATTACGTGATGGTTATTACATAATTGAACCACTTCTTGTAAAGATCTTTTAAGTGATCTACAGTTATATGTGACAAGCTTAATGTTTGAACAATCCATCTTAGTTCTGTGTAGGTTCCGTGTTTGCCATTGATTCAGTTACAGTTGACTGCTTGTTAATACTCTGTTTACGTTCCCAGAATTTCCTAAAAACAATGTCAGCTGGCCAGAAACGATCGCCGTTATCGTCCAGAAACAGGTCGACACTACTTAAAGGAACTATTACCTTAAATGCATTAAACTCGTTATTTACATTGTTTATCTTAAACACTTGCACCTCAAGGTCGGTCTTGTATTTAATAAAAGCCTCTATATTACTGGCGGTCGTATCCTTATGTACTCTCGAGATATATAAGGATATTTTTCTCTCAGCAGCCTTAAAGTTAAATTGTTCCAACGGCTGCGCTATTCCTCTCCTATTCATAATTTTACGACGTTTATATTGTACCGTTGACCATTCATCGTTAGTCGATTTGCCAGTAGAACGCATAGTCTCCTTAACAGTCTTCTTAACAGCATCTGCCATCGTGTACGGTCTCCTATCAGCTGATAACATAACGCCCAAGTCACTGGGCGCAGGCACTATCTCCCGCGCGGCGGCGATATGTTGCTCGCTGCGCATCACACCCCCCCCGCTACGTATGTCTCGCTGCTCCCGTCCCACGACAATTGCTGTTTCACGCGACGTAGGAGACGGCACTCGCTCACTGTCTCGCGCCCTCTCCCGCCCCCGCGCTGCTACCGCGTCGCATGCATCTCTCGGCGGCCGATCGAAATCTAAATCAATACTTTCCGAATATATTTCCTCTACCTCCTTACCAATTATATTTATGGAAGGTATGTTAGGCATAATTGTCGTTT